GCGGTGGTGCGGTGCCTGGTGGACATGCTGGCGGCGCAGCAGCAGTCGCGCGAGCAGCAGCAGCAGCAGGCGGAGGAGGGCGACGGGGAGGCGTCGGCGGAGGCGCTGGTGAGCAGCGTGGCGTTGTGGCTGCTCGCCGTCATGGCGTCGCACGACCACCCTACGCGCGCGCTCGTCGCCGCCGCGGGCGCCGTCGACGTGCTGGTGGACCGCCTCTCCGCGCTGTCGGCGGAGGGGGAGGAGGCGGACGACCTGGGGATGGATGGGGACGGCGGGGAAGGGGGGGACAGCGGGGGGGCGTGGGTGTGCGCGTTGCTGCTGGCGGTGCTGTTCTGCAACCGCGACGTCGTGCGCTCGCCCGTCGCGCTCAGGGCCATTCCGCCGCTCGCCTCGCTGCTCACCTCGCCCGACCCCTCGCAGCGCTACTTTGCCTCGCAGGCCATCGCGTCGCTCGTGGCGAGCGGCAGTCGCGGCACGCTGCTCGCCATCGCCAACAGCGGCGCCATCCCGCTGCTGCTCGCGCTGCTGGGCCGCGCGGAGGCGGACGTGGCGCACCTGCGCGCGCTGGCGGACGACTTCGAGCTGGCGAGCAGTCCGGAGCAGGTGGCGCTGGAGAAGCTCTTCCGCTGCGACGACATCCGCGCGGGCCGCCACGGCAGCGTGGTGGTGCCGCATCTCATCGCGCTGCTCACGCCCAACGCCGACCAGCCCAGCGCGCCCGCCGTCGCCATCGGCCTGCTCACGCAGCTCGCGGCCGGCAGCAGCGCGAACCGCGTCGCCATGGCGGACTACCGCATCCTCGAGGCGCTCACCACGTACCTCACGCTCGGCCCGCAGGTGCGCCACGCGCTCCCGCCGTTGCGTTGCTTCCCCCCTGTTGCTTGATCCCTCGAGCTCTGCACGTTCCACCCTCACCTGTGCTGCTGCCTCCGCACCCCCTCATCGCTCATCCCCCAATGCCCGTCCAACCCCACGCGCCCTTACTTCCCCTCTCCCCCGTGCAGGAGGCGATGGAGGCGGCGGCGGTGGAGCTGCTGCGGGTGCTCTTCCAGGCGGACGACCTGCGCGTGCACGCCGCCGCGCCCGCCGCCATGGACCAGCTCGTCGCCGTGCTGCGGGTGGGCTCCCGCGCCGCGCGCCTGCCAGCAGCATCGGCGCTGGAGGCGCTGTTCGCCGTGGACGCGCACCGCGCGAGCGACGCGGCGCTACACGCGCTGCACCCGCTCGTCGACATGCTGGGCAGCGGGGCGGGCGCGGAGGCTGCTGGCGGGGCTGCTGGCGGCGGCGCTGTGGAGGCGGAGCAGCGGGCGGCAGCGGCGGCGCTGTGCCAGCTGGCGCAGGGCAACGTGGGGCGCGTGCTGCAGGCGTGCGAGGAGGGCGGCATCCCCCTCATGGCCACCATTCAGCGCCTGCTCGAGGCGCCCGACAATCAGCCAGCTGGCGGCAGCGGCGGGTACGACAAGGCGGCGGCGGAGGTGAAGGCGACGGCGGTGGAGCTACTGCAGACGCTCTTCTCCTTCCCGCGCGCGCGCTCTGGCCCCGTGGCGGCGGCGCTGATCCCGCCGCTGGTGGTGCTGCTGCTGCACCCGTCGCCGTCGCTGCAGTACCGAGCGGCGGGCGCCGTGGACGCGGTGATGGACGACGAGCAGCAGGCCAACGTGGTGGCGAGCTGCAGCGCCGTGGCGCCGCTCGTGAGCCTGCTGGAGGGCGAGCGGCACGGGCTGCACGCGGCGGCCAGCAGTGCGCTGTTCAAGCTGGCCAAGGACCGGCGGCAGTGCAAGCTGGACATGGCGGCGGCCGGGGTCATCGAGCGCATCATCGCCATCTTCCCCTCCGCGCCCCTCGCGCTCTGCTCACTGCTCGCCGAGCTGCTGCGCGTGCTCACCAACAACTCCACCATCGCCAAGGGCGCCGCCGCTGCGCGCCTCGTGGGGCCCGTGTTCGCCATGCTGCGCCACGCGGAGCTGTCCCCATCGGCGCAGACGAGTGCGCTGCAGGCGCTGGTGAACGTGCTGGAGAAGCCCGGCCGCCTGGACGCGCTGGACCTGCCGCCCAGCGACGCCATGGAGCCGCTCGTGCCGCTGCTGCTCTCGCCCTCGCTCGTGGTGGCGCAGCTGGCGGCGGGGCTGCTGGCGCACGTGCTCACGCTGGAGGCCTTCCACAGCGATGGCATCACGGCAGCGGCGGCGGCGCCGCTGGTGCGGCTGCTGGGCAGCGAGCTGGAGTCGCTGCGCACCGAGGCGCTCAAGGCGCTCGAGCTGGTGTCCGCGTGCTGGCCGGGTGCCATCGTGGAGGCGGGCGGCATCGACGAGCTGTCTCGCCTGGTGGCGACGGCGCCGCACCCGATGTGGCAGATGGCGGCGACGGTGCTGGCCAACGTGCTGCGCGCGCATGACAAGTGCGCGGCGCAGGTGCCAGTGCCCGTGCTGGTGCGCCTGCTCATGGCCAACACCGAGCCCGTGCAGGTCGTGGCGCTGTCCGCACTGCTGGCTTTGGAGCGAGAGGACCCGGCGCGGGGGGACGAGATGGCGCGCATGGGCGTGGTGGACGCGCTGCTGGAGCTGCTGCGCTGCCACCAGGTGGAGGAGGCGGCGGCGCGCCTGCTGGAGGCCATCTTCAACAACGCGCGCGTCAGGGACTCGCAGACGGCGCTGCGCTCCATCGCACCGCTGGCGTCGTACCTGCTGGACCCCAACTCCGCCGACCCCAACGCCAAGCTGCTGGCGGCGCTGGCGCTGGGCGACCTGTTCCAGGAGACGAGCGTCGCGCTCAAGACGGTGGACCTCACGGGTGCGTGCCGCGCGCTCGTGGCGCTCATGGCGGAGCGGGCGAGCGAGGACCTGGTGATGGTGGCGCTGTGCGGACTGCAGAACCTCGTGGCGTCGTCGCGCGCCAACAAGCGCGCCGTGGCGGACGCGGGGGGGTTTGGCGTGCTGGTGGAGCTGCTGACAGGCGGGTCGGCGGAGGTGACGTCGCAGGCCGCCAACCTGGTGCGGCTGATGCTGAACAACCACACGGTGCAGGAGTACGCGACGCCCGAGCTCGTGTCGTCCATGACGGGCGTGATCGAGCGCGAGCTGTGGAAGACGGCGAGCGTGAACGAGGAGGTGCTGCAGGCCATCGAGGGGCTGCTCGCCACCTTCTCCCGCCTGCGCTTCAGCGAGTGCGCCACCGCCGCCATCCCCGTGCTGGTGGGCGCCATGAAGGTGGGCAGCGAGGTGGCGCAGGAGACGGCGCTGAACGTGCTGTGGCTGCTGCGGCAGGGGTGGGCGCAGAGCAAGGAGATGGCACGGCTGCAGTCCATCGCCATGGGCGACACCATCCCCGTGCTGCAGCTCATGCTGCGCTCCGGCCCCATCAACCTCTACGAGAAGGCGGAGACGCTGCTGTCCGTGCTGCCGGGCAGCCTGTCGGTGTGTGTGAAGCGCGGCAGCAACCTCAAGGCGTCCATGGGCGCCACCAACGCCTACTGCAAGCTCACGCTCGCTGACACCCCCGCCAAGGTCACCAAGGTCAGTCACTGCACTGCATGCAGGCGAGGCCCAGGGGCAGCGAGCGGGGCTCACGGGGTATTGGGAAGGTGGTGGTGAGGTGGGTGGGTAATGATTGGCACAGGGATTGAGAGATGGCTGGTTCTGGGGCGATCACAACATCTACAACAGCAGCACTGTAATCGCCAGTTGTTCCTTGTATCACCTGAACCTTGGATCTGCTGTTTTCGCTTGTTGGCTTGTGATGTCATGTGTGCTTATCATTTGTGTGCCCTAAATCCAACGGTGTGTGCTGTGTGTGGGCATGGTGGCATGGCAGGTGGTGAGTGGCACGTGCGACCCCGAGTGGAAGCAGACCTTCACATGGCCGCTGGACGCCCCTCCACGCGGGCAGAACCTCCACATCTCGTGCAAGAACAAGGGCACCATCGGCACCGTGAGTCTCCATCGCCACTGCCACTCCCTGGCTCTTTCGTTCCTAATATGCGTCTTGCACTCTTCGTGTGTTCCGTTCCCATCATGTTTCATGTCTCATTCCCTTGGCTTCTGTGCATTGCTCTGTGTTTGTGCTGCTGCTGTGTGTGTGTGTGTGTGTGTGTGGGATGGCAGAGCTCATTGGGCAAGGCAACAATTCAGATAGACCGGGTGGTGGCGCTGGGGATGGTGTCGGGGACGTACGTGCTGCAGCCAGAGGGCAACCGAGACGGCACACAGCGCACCATCGATGTCGACTTCATCTGGTCCAACCGCTGATCATTGGCCCACCACCATGCTCATGCCGCCACTCCTCCTTCCATGCAAACCCTCTCATTCTGCCGCCCACCCACCCACCTGCCGCTGATGCTGCTGCCAAATGTGACACTTGGGGTGGCCTCCAGCAGCAGATGCGACCAGCGCAATGCTGCATCCCAGAGTCAATCTTCCGCCAGTCTCCTCTCCCCCCGCCCTGCCACCACTGCCTGCTCGCTGGCCCCCACCCCAACCACACTCGAGCTGCTTCCAAGCGTGCATGTGTCTATAAGGCGCTATACTGCCATGCAAATGCATACCGACCCTGCTGTGCCACCACGGGTGCAGTGTGGACCAGCATCAAGAGCCTGAGCCACAAATACCGGCCGTGGGTGGAGCCAGAGGGGCTCAAGCTCGCCACACGGCACAAGAGAGGGCAACCAAGCTTGTAGTCAGTCTGCTGTAGATGCCCTCCCGGGCTACCATTAGCTCCCATGCACCCTGTGTGGATCCTATGTAGTAACAGGGAGGGCATGAGCTTTTAGTCGAGAGTAGTTTAGCGAGGTCCCTGGGTTTCATAAAGCATGACTGAGTTGCCTGCCACTGGCAGGAAAGAACAGCACATTCATATGCCTCAATTGAACTTTGCTGAGCAGGTGTGCCACATTGCGCTGCAGCTAGTGAGACTCATTAAAATCACTGAACATGCTAATCTTTCAAAGCTACATTCTAAACCTAGCACGAGGCATGCTTGTGTGTTGGAGATGGAGACGGCTGGAGTCAGGTGCCCATGGGCTCAACTGGAAAAAGTAGCACTGTCACCTGCAGCGAGCACAGAGCATCAAGGGCAATGTGCGTATAGGAAGGGTGGTGCAGGCAGTATGAGGGAGAGGTGCGGCACACGAATGAATGCGCCGTTGGGGGGGTTTTGCAAGAACTGACACACACCCGCTCACAGTGCAGTGAGGAGAGAGCGAGCAGCTGACCTGCACGGTGGAGAAAGCAACCAGTGGGGAGGCTACAGTGCCCCCCAGCACGCGGCCGTCAGCGCCCACAAGGGTGGCAGTGAGCCCTCCCATGCGGCTGGAGGCATCAGCGGGGTCGTCCGGCACGTATGAGCCCGCCAGCGACACCACGTCCAGTGCGCCCTGCATGCATGCATGCACGCACACACAGCAGCCACCCTCAACACCCATTGCTTCCTGCCTCTACTCCCCTCTCTATCTCAACCCCCAGACCCACACCGGAAAAGCACACTTGACCACCGTTGACATGCATAGTATTCCCTATCATACACCCCATGTCGTGTGCTGCTGTGACCCACCGCGTGTGGCGTGGCAGGCAGGGCGGCAGCGGGGCCAGAGAGGGAGGGGGGGAGCACGGAGCCATTGGCGGAGAGCACACACACCGCCCTGCCCTCCTCGCGCGACAACATGAATATCCGCGCCGCTACGTCCTGTGTGCCGCCCATGGGATGGAAGGACACACCCAGGGGAGGACACACCCAGGGGAGGACACACCCAGGGGAGGACACAGCCCGGGGAGGACACAACCAGGGGAGGACACAGCCAGGGGAGGACACAACCAGGGGAGGACACAGCCAGGGGAGGACACAACCAGGGGAGGACACAACCAGGGGAGGACACACCCAGGGGAGGATGACAGAATGAGGCACGGTAGACACAGGCATGACTAAAGACTTCATGCACGCTTCTGTACCCCTCCCCCACTCGTTTTCCACTCCAGTAGTCCTCTCTTTCACAATGCCATCTGCTGCTGTCCTGCTCTGCTGGTACAATTTAAGGCCAACTGCCCTTCCCATTCCCAAGTAAAGAACAGGCGAGCAAACCATGGGAACGCAGAGAGACAAAGAGGGCTCTAACAAGGCATTCTCAACAGCAACTTTTGAATCAACCATGCATTGATCCACACCTCTGCCATACCTCGCCACTTGGAACCAGGAGTACTCTTGGCTCAAGCGCTGCACACACGGCAAGGAAGGGAGCGCACGAGCAAGGAGCGGGAGCAGGCATGAAGCGGTCGCACTGGGGAACGGCCGCCACAGCAAGGCCGCAGCCAGAGCAGAGAGGTTGGCGAGCGGCACGGCGAGCAAGCAGGAAGGGCGGAGAGGGGAGGGGCGCACGCACAGCTGGGGGCGGCAGGCGGCGAGCTCTGACCCGCCTGGCTGCTCAACGGCCGACCGGGGCTTCGCCGTGGCAGACTGGGGTCTTTAGGCGGCCGTCCCGGCTTTCGCTTTGCTGAAGCTGAGTCGTTCGCTGGCCGCCCCGGCCTTCTCTTTAGCAACGTCGGGTCTTTCGGCGGCCGTCCCGGGCCCCGCTTCGGCATGCTCGAGTCCTCCTCCACCCGCCCGCCGAGCACCTCCTGCACCCCCGAGTCCTTGCGCGGCCGTCCGCGCTTGCGCTTTGGAAGCGCGGGTTCCTTGGGCGGGTGTTTGCGCGGGCGGCCTCGCGGGCGCTTCATTGCCGGCGGGGCTTGAGACTCCGGTTGCGGAGAAAGCAGCTCCGCGGTCACCGTCGACATGCAGTTCACCGATTGGCGGGCTAATCCCGTTAGAATCACATGCGACAACCAAATGAGCTCACTACTGTCCTGCCAATGCCTTGCACCTCGTCTGCACTACTTGTACAGTCTAGTAGGCCATGTCCGAACCTCTACCACCGCGCTATTACTGACAAGCCGCGTTCACAACGTTGGAAACCAGGGACGCCATGCTTGAATGCAGCCGTGTTTTATGTTTCCTGCCTGCATGCATCCGAAAACGAATCACACCCTGGTTGGCCAAGGGGGGCCGCACAAGTGTTCGAGATACATTAACGGATGTATATGCAGCGGAAAGTCGCAAATGCTATCGGAACAGCTACAAACGAACACTTCGTAATCCAGGTTCTGAAGAGGACTCAAATGTTTTTAAAGGGATACCCTGCCAAATCAGCGGGTCAATTAAAATCGTTTATTAACTTGTTTATTATTGCTCTTCCAGAGTTTTTACTAGTACTTAATTTTCTGCCTCCCTATGCATCTTTCCCGGAACTCTCACAATCCAGACACGTATAATAGGATGAACACTCTATAGAACTGGCACCACGATCCAGCTGAAGCGGATTCCTAGGCATGTCGTTTGAAACACAGGTGCGTATTTTCCAAACTCTGGTTTTGCAGGGTGGTAATAAAGCTAGTAGGAAAAAAAAAACCGGCTCAAATGAAAAACTACTGAGCGCCAGCCAGCCCCCAAAACCAAAGGCAGGGTGCACTGCCAAGCCAAACCTGCCAGCACAGGGACCACCAGACCAACTGAAAGCGAGTGAGGGAAGTCAGTTTGGTTTGGCTCGGGGGGCGCGGGGGACCGAGAGGACAACGGATGGGCGGTGGGGTGGGCGGGTGCCAGTCAACGCTGGGCAGCAGAGGACAAGGCAGCGAGGGTGAAAGGGAGGGTTGTCCTCAGCAGGGAAGCTCTCTTGATGGTTGGTGTTACCTACTCTCGAATCAACAACTCGGACATGTCCTTTCTAGAGGAGCATCTCCTTTCTAGAAGAGCATCATCTCCTTTCTAGACGAGCATATGTTTGAAGGCAACTCTTTGTTCAGGACACGTGGACATAGCGAACTTCCTTTACCGTGAGACGTCATGCAGTTTCAGCAATCGGACTTCTCCCAGCTTCAGCAGGCGCAGGAAGACCAATTTAGGGTTCCACTCAATGCGGGTATAGAGCCTTCATTCAGGGCGGACCAGTGCGCAGCAGGTCGCGGCGACGCCGCCTCATTCTTACCGCCGAGTGCGGCGGACCTGTCGCAGCTGCCTGGGTGCGCCATGGACTTCGCGGCGTTGCCAGGCGAGCCCGCGTGGCCGCTTGGGGCTCGCGATGGGCTCTGGTTCCCCGAAGCTTCACAGCTAGTCGCTCCGCCCGTCGACGCTGCTGCGACGAATGAGTTTGGCGGGGCCGCTGGTGGCGGCGCTGTGAGCATGGACGGCGGCGACGTGGCGTCGTCGGGGGTGTCGCGGGACTTGCTGCTGCAGCTGCTGTCGGCGGGTCTCGACATGCCCTCGCTGCAGGCCATGCTCGCCGCGCTCGACGCCCCCACCACCGCCACCGCCACCACCACCCCGCTCGCCATGTCGTCACCACTCGAGTCGCAGCCGCCGCTGCCGCCCCAGGTGGGTGCGGACAACACGGCGCAGCTGTTCGCAGCAGGCGCGGCTGCGGCGGCGGAGCACACGGTGAGTGGACTCAACGGCTCTGCGCCGCCGGCAAGCGGCCGCGCCACCCTGAGCCAGAGCCACAGCCTGGACGGTCGGTCTGCGCTTCCGCCCGTGTCGCCGCAAGTCAACGCGCGATCTCGACCGCAGCTCACGGCGGGCGAGCGCCCCGTGCCGGTGCTTGGGTCCGCCGCGCACGGCGCGCAGTCGAGCCTGCGCTCCCGGCGGGGCCTGCCCGATCTCTCCAGCTCGCTGGCCAACGCGCGCCCTTCCCCCGTCTCCCGCCTCGCCGCTGCCACCGGCGGCAATCCCCCCTCCAACTCGGGCAAGCGCGAGGCGGAGGCCGGCATGTCGGGCGGCGCAGCGCGGTGGCCGCTGTCCCCCGCGCTCAAGAGTCCGCGATCCGACGGATACCGCAGCCCCGGCGGCAGCCGCGTTCTGTCCGCCATAGCCGCCAGCCCCACGGGGCTCGCGAGCGACATGGCGCAGCTGCGCGTGCGCTCGCTGCCCACCACTCCGCTTGGCGGGGCTGCGCCCTTGCCGCTGGGGTCGGCGCGCGGCGGAGTGGGAGGGGGGGTGCGATCTGCGGAGTCGGGAGGCAGAGGGTCGCACTCGAGAGGGTCGAGCGGCGAGCAGGGCTACGAGGTGGCGTCGGCGGGCGGGCAGGACGGCGCAGCGCGGGACGGCCAGGAGGGCGGCATGGAATTGGGCGCAGCGCAGATGGAGGAGGGCGGCGGGGCGGCAACAGGGATGGGCGATGGCGTGGAGGGCGGTGGAGGGGGAGACGAGCTGTACAGCGGCGATGGGTTTGGGCTGGACGAGGGGGGGGAGGAGGAGGCGGAGGGGGAGGGCGGTAAGGGGGCGGGCGGAGGCAAGGGGCGGGGCAGACACTCAACGAAGCCGCGCAGCGTGGCGGAGCGCATGCGGCGCGAGCGCATCTCAGCGCGGCTGAAGCGGCTGAAGGACGTGATGCCGCGCACGGACGCGCGCACAGACACGTCCGCCATGCTGGACGACGCCGTGGTGTACATCCGCTCGCTGCAGATGCGCTGTGCCGCCCTCGAAACCCAAAACGCCGTGCTCGCTAAACAGCTCGCCGATGCCGCTCGCACCCGCGAGCACGTCCCACAATAGTGCCCTCGCCCTCTGCTGCCTGTAGTCATCACTGCCTCAGCCACGCCCTGCCTCGCTTCTTAGAGTAGGGGCATGCGTCCTCCTCTGACCTGCTGACCGCCCTTAACTGCTGCTTGCACCTGAGGGCATTCTATTCGCACTCTTGTATATTCAGAACCTTTTCAACAGCTCGACCTCTCAATTTATAAAATACCGTATTCTTCTTACGATATCTTTCACCCGTCTTCTCACTCTCCCTCCCTCCCTCTCTTCCTGCCTCTCTCTCTCTCCCAATCTTGGTTTCCCTCTGTTCCTCTGCCTCTCCCGTCCTCCCTCACTCCCTGCTTCCCTCCCTCCTCCCTCCATCCGTTCGTCTCCTTACTCCCGTGCCCTCTCATTACAATCTTGGCGTCATTCCTCTCCTCCACATCCTCATTCCCTCGTTGCTCCTCACTCCCGTGGGAAAAAATGCAGAATTGTACGGTTGGTTGGTTTATTGTGTCGAGATGAAGTTATAGAATGCAACATGTACTATCTCTGTAGGGTTGTGTTACTGTAGTTAGGGTACATTCTTGTCTGGACACAAGTGTCTCAATGCCCGCGTCGAAACATTTTGTCAACCTCGTGTCACAAAGAAATGAGTGTATCGCGACACTAGGCGATGCCACCAGGCAAAACATTCAGTTGTGCGTATTTGTTGGGTGACACAAATGAATGTACACCCGTTTCTACAACCGCCGGGCAGGTAATTGGTTTCGATGAGCGGTTAAGGTAAAGGAGGGGGAGGGGGGAGATCCCTCTTTGGATTACCCCCGACTGTCGATCGTAATCCGCCTACCCACTTGTTTACACGCCTCGCTGGGTATCGAGGTACCGTAAGGATATATCCACTCCCGAATGAGCAGTGCGAAACCCCCTTCTGGGGGGCTGGCGGAACTTGCCAGCACTGGGTTTAGGGTTTAGGGTTTAGGGTTTAGGGTTTAGGGTTTAGGGTTTAGGGTTTAGGGTTTAGGGTTTAGGGTTTAGGGTTTAGGGTTTAGGGTTTAGGGTTTAGGGTTTAGGGTTTAGGGTTTAGGGTTTAGGGTTTAGGGTTTAGGGTTTAGGGTTTAGGGTTTAGGGTTTAGGGTTTAGGGTTTAGGGTTTAGGGTTTAGGGTTTAGGGTTTAGGGTTTAGGGTTTAGGGTTAGGGTTTAGGGTTTAGGGTTTAGGGTTTAGGGTTTAGGGTTTAGGGTTTAGGGTTTAGGGTTTAGGGTTTAGGGTTTAGGGTTTAGGGTTTAGGGTTTAGGGTTTAGGGTTTAGGGTTTAGGGTTTAGGGTTTAGGGTTTAGGGTTTAGGGTTTAGGGTTTAGGGTTTAGGGTTTAGGGTTTAGGGTTTAGGGTTTAGGGTTTAGGGTTTAGGGTTTAGGGTTAGGGTTTAGGGTTTAGGGTTTAGGGTTTAGGGTTTAGGGTGGTTTAGGGTTAGGGTTTAGGGTTTAGGGTTTAGGGTTTAGGGTTTAGGGTTTAGGGTTTTAGGGTTTAGGGTTTAGGGTTTAGGGTTTAGGGTTAGGGTTTAGGGTTTAGGGTTTAGGGTTTAGGGTTTAGGGTTTAGGGTTTAGGGTTTAGGGTTTAGGGTTTAGGGTTTAGGGTTTAGGGTTTAGGGTTTAGGGTTTAGGGTTTAGGGTTTAGGGTTTAGGGTTTAGGGTTTAGGGTTTAGGGTTTAGGGTTTAGGGTTTAGGGTTTAGGGTTTAGGGTTTAGGGTTTAGGGTTTAGGGTTTAGGGTTTAGGGTTTAGGGTTTAGGGTTTAGGGTTTAGGGTTTAGGGTTTAGGGTTTAGGGTTTAGGGTTTAGGGTTTAGGGTTTAGGGTTTAGGGTTTAGGGTTTAGGGTTTAGGGTTTAGGGTTTAGGGTTTAGGGTTTAGGGTTTAGGGTTTAGGGTTTAGGGTTTAGGGTTTAGGGTTTAGGGTTTAGGGTTTAGGGTTTAGGGTTTAGGGTTTAGGGTTTAGGGTTTAGGGTTTAGGGTTTAGGGTTTAGGGTTTAGGGTTTAGGGTTTAGGGTTTAGGGTTTAGGGTTTAGGGTTTAGGGTTTAGGGTTTAGGGTTTAGGGTTTAGGGTTTAGGGTTTAGGGTTTAGGGTTTAGGGTTTAGGGTTTAGGGTTTAGGGTTTAGGGTTTAGGGTTTAGGGTTTAGGGTTTAGGGTTTAGGGTTTAGGGTTTAGGGTTTAGGGTTTAGGGTTTAGGGTTTAGGGTTTAGGGTTTAGGGTTTAGGGTTTAGGGTTTAGGGTTTAGGGTTTAGGGTTTAGGGTTTAGGGTTTAGGGTTTAGGGTTTAGGGTTTAGGGTTTAGGGTTTAGGGTTTAGGGTTTAGGGTTTAGGGTTTAGGGTTTAGGGTTTAGGGTTTAGGGTTTAGGGTTTAGGGTTTAGGGTTTAGGGTTTAGGGTTTAGGGTTTAGGGTTTAGGGTTTAGGGTTTAGGGTTTAGGGTTTAGGGTTTAGGGTTTAGGGTTTAGGGTTTAGGGTTTAGGGTTTAGGGTTTAGGGTTTAGGGTTTAGGGTTTAGGGTTTAGGGTTTAGGGTTTAGGGTTTAGGGTTTAGGGTTTAGGGTTTAGGGTTTAGGGTTTAGGGTTTAGGGTTTAGGGTTTAGGGTTTAGGGTTTAGGGTTTAGGGTTTAGGGTTTAGGGTTTAGGGTTTAGGGTTTAGGGTTTAGGGTTTAGGGTTTAGGGTTTAGGGTTTAGGGTTTAGGGTTTAGGGTTTAGGGTTTAGGGTTTAGGGTTTAGGGTTTAGGGTTTAGGGTTTAGGGTTTAGGGTTTAGGGTTTAGGGTTTAGGGTTTAGGGTTTAGGGTTTAGGGTTTAGGGTTTAGGGTTTAGGGTTTAGGGTTTAGGGTTTAGGGTTTAGGGTTTAGGGTTTAGGGTTTAGGGTTTAGGGTTTAGGGTTTAGGGTTTAGGGTTTAGGGTTTAGGGTTTAGGGTTTAGGGTTTAGGGTTTAGGGTTTAGGGTTTAGGGTTTAGGGTTTAGGGTTTAGGGTTTAGGGTTTAGGGTTTAGGGTTTAGGGTTTAGGGTTTAGGGTTTAGGGTTTAGGGTTTAGGGTTTAGGGTTTAGGGTTTAGGGTTTAGGGTTTAGGGTTTAGGGTTTAGGGTTTAGGGTTTAGGGTTTAGGGTTTAGGGTTTAGGGTTTAGGGTTTAGGGTTTAGGGTTTAGGGTTTAGGGTTTAGGGTTTAGGGTTTAGGGTTTAGGGTTTAGGGTTTAGGGTTTAGGGTTTAGGGTTTAGGGTTTAGGGTTTAGGGTTTAGGGTTTAGGGTTTAGGGTTTAGGGTTTAGGGTTTAGGGTTTAGGGTTTAGGGTTTAGGGTTTAGGGTTTAGGGTTTAGGGTTTAGGGTTTAGGGTTTAGGGTTTAGGGTTTAGGGTTTAGGGTTTAGGGTTTAGGGTTTAGGGTTTAGGGTTTAGGGTTTAGGGTTTAGGGTTTAGGGTTTAGGGTTTAGGGTTTAGGGTTTAGGGTTTAGGGTTTAGGGTTTAGGGTTTAGGGTTTAGGGTTTAGGGTTTAGGGTTTAGGGTTTAGGGTTTAGGGTTTAGGGTTTAGGGTTTAGGGTTTAGGGTTTAGGGTTTAGGGTTTAGGGTTTAGGGTTTAGGGTTTAGGGTTTAGGGTTTAGGGTTTAGGGTTTAGGGTTTAGGGTTTAGGGTTTAGGGTTTAGGGTTTAGGGTTTAGGGTTTAGGGTTTAGGGTTTAGGGTTTAGGGTTTAGGGTTTAGGGTTTAGGGTTTAGGGTTTAGGGTTTAGGGTTTAGGGTTTAGGGTTTAGGGTTTAGGGTTTAGGGTTTAGGGTTTAGGGTTTAGGGTTTAGGGTTTAGGGTTTAGGGTTTAGGGTTTAGGGTTTAGGGTTTAGGGTTTAGGGTTTAGGGTTTAGGGTTTAGGGTTTAGGGTTTAGGGTTTAGGGTTTAGGGTTTAGGGTTTAGGGTTTAGGGTTTAGGGTTTAGGGTTTAGGGTTTAGGGTTTAGGGTTTAGGGTTTAGGGTTTAGGGTTTAGGGTTTAGGGTTTAGGGTTTAGGGTTTAGGGTTTAGGGTTTAGGGTTTAGGGTTTAGGGTTTAGGGTTTAGGGTTTAGGGTTTAGGGTTTAGGGTTTAGGGTTTAGGGTTTAGGGTTTAGGGTTTAGGGTTTAGGGTTTAGGGTTTAGGGTTTAGGGTTTAGGGTTTAGGGTTTAGGGTTTAGGGTTTAGGGTTTAGGGTTTAGGGTTTAGGGTTTAGGGTTTAGGGTTTAGGGTTTAGGGTTTAGGGTTTAGGGTTTAGGGTTTAGGGTTTAGGGTTTAGGGTTTAGGGTTTAGGGTTTAGGGTTTAGGGTTTAGGGTTTAGGGTTTAGGGTTTAGGGTTTAGGGTTTAGGGTTTAGGGTTTAGGGTTTAGGGTTTAGGGTTTAGGGTTTAGGGTTTAGGGTTTAGGGTTTAGGGTTTAGGGTTTAGGGTTTAGGGTTTAGGGTTTAGGGTTTAGGGTTTAGGGTTTAGGGTTTAGGGTTTAGGGTTTAGGGTTTAGGGTTTAGGGTTTAGGGTTTAGGGTTTAGGGTTTAGGGTTTAGGGTTTAGGGTTTAGGGTTTAGGGTTTAGGGTTTAGGGTTTAGGGTTTAGGGTTTAGGGTTTAGGGTTTAGGGTTTAGGGTTTAGGGTTTAGGGTTTAGGGTTTAGGGTTTAGGGTTTAGGGTTTAGGGTTTAGGGTTTAGGGTTTAGGGTTTAGGGTTTAGGGTTTAGGGTTTAGGGTTTAGGGTTTAGGGTTTAGGGTTTAGGGTTTAGGGTTTAGGGTTTAGGGTTTAGGGTTTAGGGTTTAGGGTTTAGGGTTTAGGGTTTAGGGTTTAGGGTTTAGGGTTTAGGGTTTAGGGTTTAGGGTTTAGGGTTTAGGGTTTAGGGTTTAGGGTTTAGGGTTTAGGGTTTAGGGTTTAGGGTTTAGGGTTTAGGGTTTAGGGTTTAGGGTTTAGGGTTTAGGGTTTAGGGTTTAGGGTTTAGGGTTTAGGGTTTAGGGTTTAGGGTTTAGGGTTTAGGGTTTAGGGTTTAGGGTTTAGGGTTTAGGGTTTAGGGTTTAGGGTTT